ACTACTTTCTACTTGTAAGTAGTTCAATGGTTTCTTACAAAAATCACAGATATTGAGGAATTAAGTCTCAGTGATTAGTGCCAGAAATTGAATGACTTATTGAAAACCGTAAGGACAAACGGTAATATTTATTAGTATCAGAGAACCTGATTTAAAAAGGAACTCAAAACAACTTAGTTTAAAAATAAATAAAATTTATGTAGCTTAACGAACAAAACATCTTTTGGCCATGTCATTTATTAAAACTATACAATGGCGTTTATGATCATTTTTACACATATTAGTACACAATAAAATAAGCATCTGTGGCTATAAAACAAAGTCAGTGACTGATAGCCAGAGTGTACTATAACCAAACTGTGATATCAAAGATAATAACATAGAAAGGGGACATACGGAAGATGGTCCACTTAACAAATTTTGAAAAGATAACATATTAGGGGGTTACTAAATCTTACTTACTTACTTACTTACTTACGCCTCTTACCCACAATGGAGCATAGGCTGCACTCCAGTTTTCTCCAACCAACTCTGTCATAGGCTTCCCTCTCCAGTTCTGTCCAATCTTTGTTCATTCCTCTCATATCTTTCTCTATTTAACGACGTAATGTGTTCCTTGGAATTCTTCGTTTCCTTTTGCCTTGAGGGTTCCATGTGAGGGCTTGTCTCGTGACGCAGTTCGGTGCTTTCCTTAATGTGTGTTCTATCCACTTCCACCACTTCTTCCTGATTTCCTCCTCCACTCGAATCTGGTTTGTTCTCTCTCACAGTACGTTGTTACTGTTGATGTCTAGCGAAAGAATACGAAGTATTTTGCGTAGACAACTGTTAATAAACACTTGTATCTTCTGGATGATGGCTTTCGTAGTTCTCCATGTTTCCGCTCCATACAGTAGAACTGTCTTGACATTTGTATTGAAAATCCTGATTTTGGTTCTGGTTGAAAGTTGTTTGGAGTTCCAGATATTTTTCAACTGTAGAAATGCAGCCCTCGCTTTGCCAATCCGCGTCCTCACATCTGCATCGGATCCACCTTGGTTGTCGATGATGCTGCCCAGATATGTAAAGGTGTTAATGTCCTCCAAGGCATCTCCCTCCATCAAGAGTGATTTGGTTGGTGCATGTTGTGTTGCATCGGAGAATTTCGCTCTTTCCTTTATGTATGTTGAGACCTACTGCTGCAGAGGCTGCTGCTACACTGGTCGTCTTCTCTTGCATTTGTTGTTGAGTGTGCGATAGAAGAGCCAGGTCATCTGCGAAGTCCAGATCGTCCAGCTGCGTCCTAACTGTCCAGTTGATACCGTGCTTCCCTCCAGACGTCGACGTCTTCATAATCCAGTCGATGAGCAGGAGAAAGAGAAAGGGTGAGAGTAAGCAACCTTGCCTTACACCAGTCTTTACTTCAAACCAGTAAGTGAGCTGTTCTCTATGCATGATTTTGTAGTTTAATCCGTCATAAGAATTTCGTATGCTATTGACTATGTTCTCAGGCACACTGTAGTGTCACAGAAGCCTCCATAGTATTGTCCTGTCCACACTATCAAATACTTTCTCATAGTCCATGAAGTTAATATAGAGTGTTGAATTTCATTCAATTGATTGTTCCACAATGATCCGTAATGTAGAAATTTGGTCAGTACACGATCGATCCTTACGAAATCCGGCGTGTAGATCTCGAAGTTGGGCGTCTACGAAGTCCTTCATTCTGTTTAACAACACACTGTTGAGGACTTTTACTGGTATTGAAACTAGAGTGATGCCTCTGTAGTTCTCATACTTGCTGAGGTCTCCTTTGTTTGGTATTTTGATCAGGTATCCTTCTTTCCAATCTGATGGTACTTGTTCCTCATCCCAAATCTTCTTGAAGAGGATGTGAAATATTTTCGCAGTTGCTTCCACATCAGCTTTCATTGCCTCTGCTAGAATGTTGTCTGGTCCTGCTGCTTTGCCGTTCTTGATTTGTCTGATGGCTATACTGATCTCCTCAGTCGTAGGTGCGCCAATATTAATTGTGAGGTCCTTGTATGCTGCTTCGATGTTGGGTGTGTTCAGTGGAGCTGGTCAATTCAAGAGTTCCTTAAAGTACTCTACCCACCTATTTCGCTGTTGTTCAGTGTTGCTGATTACTTTGCCTTCCTTACTTTTCACTGGTCGTTCTGGTTTACGATAGTTTCCGGCGAGCTTCTTTGTAGTTTCGTACAATTGTCTCATGTTTCCTTCTCTTGCAGCCTTTTCCGCCGTCATTGCTAGATCTTCCACATATTTTCGTTTGTCAGCTCTGATGCTCTTCTTCACTTCTCTGTTTGATTCTGTGTATGCAGCTTGTGCGATAACTTTCTCTGCTCGGCTGACATTGATTGGTGCCCTCTTGTTCATCCTTTCTTCAATTATTGCAAGAGTATCAACAGAGATCCATTCCTTGTGATGGTACTTCTTGTGACCCAGAACTTCGTGACATGTTGAAGTGATTGCATCCTTAATCACTTTCCAATTGTTTTCCAATGTTGCGTCCTCTCCATTGTGTAGATCCTGAAAAGCCTGGAACCTATTTGTGAGGGCTATCCTGAATTCGTTGAACTTTACAGTATCCCGAAGAAAGGCCGTATTAAACTTCTGTGATGTTGTCTGCCCCGTTGTCCAGTGCTTCTTTAGTTTCAGTTTCATTTTGGCGATTAGCAAATGGTGATCTGAGGCTATATCAGCTCCTCTCTTGGTTCTCACATCCTCCATGGTCCTTCTGAACGTTTTGTTGATACAGATATGATCAATCTGGTTTTGAGTAGTGTGATCCGGTGAAATCCATGTAGCTTTGTGTATGCGTTTGTGCGCGAATATTGTGCCACCGATGACCAGTTTGTTGAAGGCACATAGGTTTGCAAATCTCTCACCATTTTCGTTCCTTTCTCCCAGTCCATGTCGTCCCATGATGTCTTCATATCCAGTGTTGTCCATTCCAACCTTGGCATTCAGGTCTCCCATTAAAATCGTCGAGTCCTTTAGTGAGCATCTGTCGACGATTGACTGCAGCCTTTCGTAGAATCGATCTTTAACGTCGTCATTGTAGTCATTGGCAGGTGCATATTATTGGATGACGTTCATTGCAATTTCCTCTTTCTTCGTTTTGAAGGACGCTTTGGTGATCTTAGGTCCATGAGATTCCCATCCGATTAATGCATTTTGTGCTTGCTTGGACAGCATCAGTGCAACTCCTTGTGTATGTGAAGCGTTTTCCTCTTCATGACCAGAGTATAACAACAGTTCTCCTTAAGCTAGTCTCAGTTGTTCCACCTGTGTCCAATGTGTTTCACTGATGCCGAGCACCTCGAGGTTGTATCTTTTCATTTCCGCCGCAACTTGAAATAGTCTTCCAGTCTCCCACAATGTATGAACGTTCCATGTACCTAAAAAAATGGTTGCTCTGGTTGTCAGAAGAGGCATCGGCCCCGTGACGTCCGAGGGAACTCGGCTTTCATCACGCGACGTCATAATTCTTCTTCCAACTCTCAGGGCAGAGTTAAAATGGTTTGAACTATTTTTTCTGGTTAGCGTTTTTTAGGCAAGTTAGTTTTTGACGGAATGGGGTCGCCAACCCCATGTCCAACCCTCCTCCTTTATCCGGGCTTGGTACCGGCAGTAGCCCCGAAGGTTCTACTGGCGGAGTTGTTACTAAACCTAGTAAGTTGTAAAATAAGAAACATTCTAGAACTGGGTTAAAACTGGAAAATGATCACATTTTTTCCGTTAGCAGAAGTCAGATTTGCATTGTTGAAGTGCTATGTTCTCAGTCGTGCAAAAATTCTTATCTAAACTCAATACGAATCATTTCTTTTGACTTGGTACAATGTCTTGAACGATGATTCTCACAGCGGTACGTGGTCGTAGTTTACCGTTTGTTAAAGGCTTAAACAAACGACTAAACTTCCATTTTAGTAGGCTATATTTGGAAGTCCTCAGGTACTCACCTAGAATCAGTTAATATAATTTTACCCATAAAATGAAATAAACTAAAACAACATTTAAATTCTAATGTTTCTGTTCGTGACGATTTACTTCTGGTAATGGTTGACTGACAGAATAATATCCTCTGTAGAAATTATTCACTAGAAGGGAAAATTACATCACTACCTGAAGGTTAACGGTTCATTACCTTGAAATCATAAAAATATAATCCTAGAGAGTTCCATACGCGTATAAGACAACTGTTCAGTACATTCGATTTATAGTAGTATTAATTTTTGCTAGTTCCGTTAAGTCACAATATTAGCTGGTATTATTTTCACATTTGCAAGTTGAACTCATGCATCGCTTTATCACCCATTTTGTAAAATCTGTTAACATAGAAATGTGAAAAATTGTTTTTGATCATGACTTATCTATTCCATTCACTTTCACCATATCACAAGTTCGTAAATGTTTATCAATCAACCACTCAATCAACCCTGCTCTGGGAGTTAGGTCTTCATTTAGAAAAGTTACGATGTCTCATGATGAAAGCCGAGTTCACTCGAAAGTCACGAGGCCGATGCCCCTTCTGACAATCAGAACCCTTCCACGGTGTGCGCAGCCGGGAAGTAACATCCACACTCAGACTCATAAAAACACACGAGACCCAAACGGTCATAATCAAATCCTTTGCCTAAATGTTTACCATGGAAAGTTGAATCATGTATTCCGTTTCATCAAAATTCTCATGTTTTTTGGAATTTACTTTTTAGATTACAATCAGTGACTAACTATGCATTGGAAATAAACAACTAAGTTTAATCTTAAAGTATTTTCTCTACTGCTCTGATTATATTATTATTCAACTTAACTTATCAACAGACATAATTTAGTTCAATTACAATTTTGTAGTTTAGTCATATTAAGACTAATCAATACTGATCAATAATGACCTGAAAATAAGTGTTTGAAATGATTTGCATAAAACATTCTCATCATTTCTTATCAGATATAATAATCATAACAGTAATAATAATATGAGTATTCAGTTATTCTTGTTCAAGTTCATTTATGAACAGTTTTAGAGCAGATAAACAATTCAAAGTGATATCATCTCATTCGATAACTTTAAATGTTCCACAACCTACTACACAAGATGATTATATTGGAAATACTCATAATAATGATTATATTCCCATTTCGTGTAAACAAATCACTCCAACTATTCGAAATGCATACAGTTCAAAATCCAGAGAAGAAACGAAATCGCATAAACGTAGAATATTGTCTTTAAAATCAACAAAATCTGTAAGTTTATGGTTAAAATCTGTTTTGCAATAGCATTTATGATAAACTTTCGAGATGGTGGAGTAAACTTGTAGCTCAGGTGGATGATTGTGGTGGTGTTTCGTTCTCTGAGCTGGTTGTTTTGGTTGTGGAGCTTTCATTGTTCTTCTGAACAACATCATCAGCACAAACTTCAGATAAACTTTCCACCCAATAGTTTATTATTATTATTATACGCTCCTTTTTCTCCAAAGTTTATTAAGTTTTAAATAGTATCCTTTAGTAAAACAATGTTTTATTAATGTAATTTCTTACTACAACACTGTTAGTATGAGTATAAGCTTATAGTGAGTGTGAAAATCTGTTCTGAATGATTTAAACAGACTAAAATTATTGTTAAATTTCATCTAACTGATAGTATTCTACACTGTGATATTCATTTAAAGTGGCGCTAATATAACGATGTGATGATAGTTTTAAAGAAACTAGAATTGAAAATCAGTGATTTCACTCTCGGTTGTGAGATTGTTAATGATCATTGATGAGGAATCTCAGGCTAGAACAAAATGACCGCTCAGTACTTTCAAGTGTTCAATGACTGCTAAACTCAGATCTGTTCTTAAATTCAATGCAAATCATTGTCTTGTTGAAAAAAAATACTATTTTATGAAATTAGGCTCATATTATTAGTGTACTGACTATATTCTGTAGACATTGGTGAAACAGTTCTAATTTAGGAGATGAGTAGTTTGAAATGTACATATGTCGTCGTTCTGTTCTATAATGAAAGACTAAGTACTCTGTTCCATTTATTTCCCCTTCTCATGACACATTGTATTGTAAACCATACACTGAATGGTATGTGAGAATGAATAAACATGTAAATTATTTTGAGGCTTACGAAAGAAGAAAAATTTATTCATAAATGTTTAACCGATTTTCTATCAAAGTATAATGATTTATTCATTACTGATAACTAGGATAACTAGAAAACGAGTTCTAGGTAGAGATGGCAAATCAATAGATGAAGTAGTGAAACTTCATCAGTTGAGATGGTTGGGACATGTGTTACGTATGGCTAACCACCGAATGCCTCGACGAACTATGTTTTGTGGTGTAGAAGTAGGTTGGAAGAAAGCTATGGGTGGCCAAACCAAAACGTGGCACAAATCCATGAAATCACTGACAAATGGACTGATTCATGTTGGTAGATGTAAGCTACCTGGTTGGGGTCCGCGAGACGAAAGTCACCAATGGTTAAAGACCTTGAACGACATGGCTCAGAATCGTTTACAATGGCGCAGATTCATCCACTCTTTGTGTCCCCTTTAATTTTAACCTTCTGAATTCCTCATCATCTCTCTCTTTCTCCTTCTAAATTTATCTCACTGAATTATACTTCTCGGATCATATCTTCACTCCCTAATCTTCTCCATTACTGCTAATATTTTTTACTATCGTCATCACTCTTGGATCTAAACTGACAGTTCGCGTCTCTGTACTGATGTGCTATGGCAACCTGAACTAATGTACTTACATACGAAGTTCTGCGTTGTATCTGTCTGTCTCTGTCTAATAACTATTTGAATCTTCCTATTGATGGTTAGGACTACTGGTGATCCATTTCTTTTGGTGCATGTGGATTATGTGCAGGTTGCCACTAAATCAAAAGCATTAATAGCAGAGTTTGGTGATGGCTAGCAGTAGAACTCAGAACGAGCGTTTTATCCTAGAACTAACAGCTCTAGGATGAGGGCACATCTAGCTAACGAGTTCCACGTAGGGACGAAACGTGCGTGATGGATTCTACTGCTAGCTACCATCCATTTCTATTAATGAAAGGTAAATGGGTTTGATATGAGTGAACTGTTTGACAAGACTAATACCGGATGACATTTCAAAAACATCGTTGTTATTGCACTCATCATTCGATATATTTTTCGTATGATGATGATGGCTTCTATATCGCAATGTGTGTAAGGACATCGACTGTCAGTTCAGAAGTAGAAGCGAATTTTACATTTTTCTTTCAATTGAGTATAGCATTGATATCCTCTGCAAATGATCTCGCTAATACAACTATAATCAGTTGTTTCTAACAAGTTTGTTAACACTCCTTTTATTCATTAGACATTCTTAAACCATTAGTCATCCCACTGATGTTTACGACTGCTGGTGATCCATCTCTGTCGGCGTATGCTCATTATGTGCGAATTGCTATCAAGTCAAAGGCATTATTAGGAGAATTAGGTGGTGGCTAGCAGTAGGATCCAGGACAAGCATTTTACCCTATGACCAACAACTATGGGACGCACTTACATCTAGCTGACTAGTCCTAAGTTGGACGAAACGCGTGTGCTGCCTCCCACCGCTAGCTACCATCCATCTCTGCTAATAAAAGATGAACAGATTTGATATGAGTGAAATGTTTGGAAAGATTGATACCGGATGAGATTTCCGAAAATGTCATTGCCAAAGTATTCATCATTCGATATATTTTCTCATATATATAACTTTATTTCTAACAGTTATTATAGATACAACAAAGATAGACCACTTTAGAAGCGCACAATTCCTTCAAGTACTATACATTCTTCAGAATATCTGTTGACGAAGCATATTATGTTGACTAATGTAGTGATTTTGTGCTAAGACACTGTTACTGAATAAATGTGTACCTTGTATAACCATCATAAACAATTTGTAAATAACTTCAAAATGACGCTATATCTAATTCAATTTCATGGTAGTGATAGGTTCTAAATGGCAATTTATTTACAGACGTCATTAGTCAGTTCGGAAGTAGAAGCGAATTTCACATTTTTCTTTCAACTAAGAAAAGTATTGATGTACGCTCCGAATGATCTAGCTAATACGTTTGTAAGCAGTTATATCCAACAAGTTTGTTAACTCTCCTTGTATTCGGTAGAGATTCTTAAACTATTAGTTGTCACAATTGCGTTTAACATGTAAATTACTTCCGAGTTTCCCAAGATATCATTGAATACTTTATCTACAAAGACAATCAATCCATTCAATGTTTTAAACAGAAACATTCAAGCAATCGCAAATCACATAGATTTCATCACTTTGTCAGGTATTATTTCAATTATATGACGTTCAATCTAACAGGTAATGAATGCAAATTTTGCTGTATTCACTATTCACTTCTGTGTGGATTTCTATTGTTAGTATTTACTTCTGAAAATATTAATGATCAAAATTCAATATTTCTCAGTTATTAATTTAATTCATTGACGAATATTTATCTGCTTCAATTAATGTACTTTTACTAAGTTCAGTGTTTCCTAATAAAATCGAAGAATTCTATTTACTTTTTTTCAACCAATGAATGAACGAAAAGTCGACCGCGAGAACAAATTCAAACAAATTCAAAACAATATGAAAAATGAAAATAATTATTAGAAGAATACAACTAAATATTTAAAACAAAAAAATTTGATTGAGATGAAAAATTAAAAATCCCATACTATTCGACTTACTTAACTAAGTTTATAATATTTAATCAGTTGTTGAGTCTTAAAAAGTCTTGAAAATCAAACAAGGAAATCAACATGCTTTAACATACTAACACACCATAATAGGATGCTTATCAAAAACTTAGTAGAATGAACAAATTTGAGATTTGTAATCAATACACAAAACCTTAAATAGTTCATATTAAGAAAAATGTTACAATGGCTATAAGGCTAAAGAGTAACGCTTACATTTCAGCTAGTAAAACATTAAAATATCCAGTAAATGTATTTTTTTTCGACGAATATTTACTGCAAACCTTAGATTAAGCTCAAAGGACGCGTACAGTTTAGTCAATTTGTTTATACTACACTTTCCCTTTTGAGTAACGAATGTACATTAAACAATATTAGATCGTCCGACTGCCAGAACCAGTGCCAATTAAAAACTGTCTAATATATTCCTCATCGATTGTTATTGAGTATATGAATAAAAATTTGCAGAATAATTTTGTACAAAGTCCAAATTTTGTGAGCGTTGAAGGTTAACCATGATTAATTCAATAGGTAACCAAAGGAATATACATATAATGGATTATATGCTTGTCAAAATATATCTATCTAAAGAGTATGATGTACAATAAACAAAAATATCCCATCTCCTTAAGCAATTGAGGAAATGAAAACTGTTTAGAAAGATCAGTATGTTTGTCTGTATAAGTAATGAAATGACCACACTGTAAGATCCATCTTTTGAAAGCTTTGTTTGTGAAAATCCCTTCATGTATACATTTGTAATTCATTCTTATTGATTCCTTCAGTTGTACATTTTGTAAATCTGTTCCACTCCATTTTGAGATGATAATATTTGTATTTTATTAAAGTTTCTATTTCTTCTGCCTTTATTGAGTTTCTATGTTTCTTTCTGAACTGAATCGCATTTATGTTGTTTAAGCTGATACTTAGTCATGGCGACAGCCATATTGATTTGTTCCTCTTTTGATTGGATTGCTTGCTATGACTGGAATTGTGCATTTTTGATTGTGAATTGAAGCACTCTTCCAGAATAGGAAACACTCTGTGTTATAAAGCAACCAAATATTATCAGTCGAACGAATCTGATCTATCCAGGAGGGATAGAATATCATTTATTTGACTAATTGAACAATTGTTGGTGGAATGACCGATTGGTAATATTTGTTTAGGTAATGATGTATATTTATATTTATGATGAATATTAGAACCGTTATTTAGCCAAATCAATTGTTTTGAATTTCAATTGGGCAATAGCGCGTATCTAAACTATCTGGACTGTTATTCCTCAGTCCAAACCTCAATTTGGATCCTAAACACACTATCTTAGCCTTCTTAAACAATATCTTTGAATTAACTGGTTTTGAATCTCTTATATTATTGGCTTAAAAGTGAACTCAGTTTATTCATTGTAAATTTTAAATATTCTTCCCAATTTTCAATAATTGCATAAAAAAACCAGTTAATCTGTTCATGATATTGTGCTAAACTCAAATGTGAAGCATTAGTAAAGTGATTATTTTGCCATTTACTACTATTGTGGTGCGCGCTACTTATAAGTAGTATATGACGCGAGTAAAAACTTAATGTCTGGCAGCAGAAGATGGGGGAAGATCAAGAAAGGAAGAGTGGGAACACAATGGGATTTGTCAGACAATGGATTGATGTTTGCAACAGGAACAGTCCAGTTCGATATGATGGATTGATATTTTGCAAATTAACGATTTATGATATGGTTTTCCGATTTTACCGATTAACTCTGTAATTTGAGATAAATACAATTCGGTTGCCCTCACCTGTGTTCTCCTTCACTACACCATAAACAATCTACGCTGGATATTTTACTTTGTGAACCAACTGAGAATTTACTTCAAATACAGATTACAAGCATGAATGCTATTGAGAAAACTGTTTAATAATAATAATTATCAGGTAAACAGCTAAAATCTGGATTACTCAGTCTAACTGATCTTTCTTTATTCAATAAAAATCATTTTTCCCCATGACATATATTCAAGTTTTATTGAAAAATGACCTTTAGTAATCTATGATAACTTATTAATAAACTAATCACATATGATATATTGTAATTTTTATTCAGGATAGAACATGTTTACAAATGCCAAAGACTAGTCCTTCAATGCATGGAAAATTGAAACTAACCAATCTCTATAATAATAATTCTTCACTATTCAATGATACACACAATCAGAAACGACATTCCGATGCATTTATAAGTTCATTTGCTATACGAAAATCTAGTCCCAATAGGAAAAAGTGTCATCGAGAACATCATCCTGCCAGCACAAGTTGGAGACGTGCACCTGCATGCAATCGACAGTCAAAGATTAGTTCGTTACAATCAACGAATAATGTGAAACCTAATAATTCTATACAAAAACATTTTCCATCAACAAGTATGACTATTATTAATCTTATCAATAGTGCTCAATGTTTAGTTATTAGTTCGTTGAAATCTTGTTATACACGGACAATGAAGTGAAATTTTGTCATTAATATTGCTGATATTTTAATATGATTACTTACTTATTTACTTACTTACTTTGTTTGTTTTTCCCACTAAATTCAATTGTTTTTAGTAGTCATTGTTTGAATAGATCTTTACTGTTTCTCTATATTTTGTAAAGTTGAATTGATTGAACTACTTAATAACAACAATAAATAATATGTAGATATATATTCAAGTTTATGAAATAAAAACAAATGATTGATAAAGTCAATTTTTATTATGATTGTTCGAAGTGATAGTAGTAGTAGAGTGAGTAATAGTAGTAGTAGTAGTAGTAGTAGTAGTAGTAGTAGTAGTAGTAGTAGTAGTAGTAGTAGTAGTAGTAGTAGTAGTAGTAGTAGTAGTAGTAGTAGTAGTAGTAGTAGTAGTAGTAGTAGTAGTAGTAGTAGTAGTAGTAGTAGTAGTAGTAGTAGTAGTAGTAGTAGTAGTAGTAGTAGTAGTAGTAGTAGTAGTAGTAGTAGTAGTAGTAGTAGTAGTAGTAGTAGTAGTAGTAGTAGTAGTAGTAGTAGTAGTAGTAGTAGTAGTAGTAGTAGTAGTAGTAGTAGTAGTAGTAGTAGTAGTAGTAGTAGTAGTAGTAGTAGTAGTAGTAGTAGTAGTAGTAGTAGTAGTAGTAGTAGTAGTAGTAGTAGTAGTAGTAGTAGTAGTAGTAGTAGTAGTAGTAGTAGTAGTAGTAGTAGTAGTAGTAGTAGTAGTAGTAGTAGTAGTAGTAGTAGTAGTAGTAAGGGAAAGCAATTTTTACTTCATTCCAACTATTAATCGACCAATGACGGATCACCACCAAAAACCTGAAAGCAGTGGATTTCCATACCATCCTAGTACAGGACTCCTCAGAAGTATGCAATCAAGATTCCCCCATGCAGGAGTGGAAACTAGAATCTGTCACGCATACAAGTGCCCGAATAAATTTTACCATACTTGCCGACCTACTTATAAGTAGCAGTTAGCATATAGCAAAAATATTTCGGTCTAATAAGAACGAATATCAGTTCAACGGAATTATTTTTAGCAAGATGTTTATAAGCTTGACAAATTTTCAACGATCGTCTACTATGAGGAACAAAGAACAAATCAGTGATATTTTAATAATGTCCACAATAATCATGATGGCTGAATAAAATTTAAACGATAACAAAGTGTGATTCTAAAAAGATAGTAGTTCTCTGAACATATTAATAATTTTCAGTATGTGTGTCCTCTACCCATCGATCAGCCAGGCTCTTATTTCCAAACATCGTAATGAGAATCTGTTTTCTATTGAATATAATAAAATGGTCCACTTCAAATGAACAGTATTTCATAAAGCTTATTGCCTAAGTCACAAATTTTTCACAAGTCTTTATTGAACAGCATAGCTGATAATATGTTCGGAGAGATTTTTGCTGGTGTTGGATTTCCAACGTAAGAAGAGTTAACCAAACATTTAATAACCCATGGGAATCAAGCTTTCTGTCACATTATTATCTGGAATAATCATCACAAGGAGAGCGGTTTTTATATTAAATTTATATGCAGAATGAAAGCCCATCATCAACGAACGAGAACACCCTCCTCATCAAAACGATGGTATGTTTCTTTTAATATCCTGCTGTTGGTTTTGGATTTTGATTCTTCGCCTATGTTCGCCTTGTAAATGGATTGTTCACCGTGACCCAACTGTCAATGATTCATTTTCATGATTTTCTAAGCGTTGTTCATAGAAAGAGACCATGGTTTCTTCCTTTGAAGAAAGATCAAATATACAATCCAGCCTTTGTGGCTATCTGGAGTTTTAGTTTTTGTTGTAATGGGATTCAATTACAAAACGTACACAAGGCGAGTCGTTGCACAGGATATATGCAGCATGCACCGTGGCATATTTATACAGTCAAAACTTTCAGGTTATTTTGAAATTCTTCCCGATAGCGACTTAATAAGTAGCTTAGAAACCTTTGTAGTATACATCATCCAGCTGAGAGATGAAGCTCAATTACAGTGTGATGTAGACAGTTTCCATATTTGTAATCCAGTATTTATAAGCTTTAATCGATATTGCCCATATTATTTAACATAATGTACCTAATTATTGTAAATCCTTATAGTCATAATTCTTCCAGAACAACCTATAAATTTCCTAATCACTCAACCTACCATTATCTACTTACTTACGCCTGTTGACTCCAGTTGAGCATAAGCCACCGACCTCCATTCTCAAACTTACTCCATCCATGACCTTCCTTTCTAGTTCTGTCCTACTGTTGTTTATTCTGCTCTGTCTGTTTCCATCTCTCGGCGTAATGTGTTCCTTGGTCTTCCTCTTTTCCTTTGTCCTTGAGGATTCCAAGTGACGCAGTATTCACCCGCCAATAACTTTCACAGGTGAGGGCAAGTGTAACAAAAAACAGAGTCTCCTTGACATTCAACTTAGTAGATGAGGTGAGGCTATTTAAGTAAAATCGAGTAGAGAATGAGTTCCTCTGCTTGCCAATACACACACTTTCATAGTTTTACACTTATCCGCTACAAAAGAAATTTGTTTGGATGTGTCACAAATAAAGCAACAATCGAACGTATTTAAAAAATAGCTACGTCCTGCGTTATAGATTAGTGAAGGCAATTTGTAAGTTATTCTACTTAGTCGATCTCGCGTTAACATTATCTAGTCGGCCAATGATATTAACTCAAACGAATCATAAGTTATCTGAATCGCCCCCCCCTAATGTGCATTCGACTGCTTCTATGGAAATAGTTACATTGGGTGTACTACCATCCAACTGAACCAGTGAATAAGTAAACAACCCCCAACATGACTTCTCAAGGGACAGATTAAAAACAATACGCAGCTCCATCTTGCTACACCTGATTGATAGCGGTAATATTGTAGATAAAATCGAATCATTTCGAGTGATCTGTCGTATACCTCCATCATTTCCGATAGAGTTTCGATCCCATCTCTCACATATAGCAGAAGCCATAGACATGTGGGCGTGCGAACCCACTTTATATGTTCAGTAGAAATTCGTGATACCCCTATCCCTTCTTAGGCCAGATAAAATCTGATCAACGATTTTATCTTTATTTCATTGTTAATAGTACTATTTTCATATCCTGTATTTCTCAGTCATTTTTTCGCCTCCTTTCATTTAAATTATTCACTTACTAATTATTTACACCTTTTCTCATTACATAATTCCAATAATGTTTATGATCAGTATTTTAAGTTTATTTATCCAAGTTTGACCTACTACTTCCAATGTTGAACTACAAACAGAAAAGCTTTTGTCAGTATATTTTTTACGGACTTGTGAAAATTGTTATGTTACACATTTGAAATCATGAATCGATCAATGTTAGGCCACCATTAGAAACCTGGAAGCACTGAAAGATGGCCGTTTCGTTCTTGTATGGTAGGACTCCTCAGCAGTATACCTGTCTTCTTCCTACAACCAACTTGTGCTTTTACCTAGTTTGTTAAGTTACGTAATCCATTTGATTATGATTAGTGACTCGTAAATTACCTGAATTAGTTTAACATTTTTCAAAGTAGGGCATCTATTTGTAACCAACATTATAGTACAATAAATTGTGTGAATAAAATACATAGTAGAAGAAATTTTGTCTTGACAATGGAGATAATAATAAGAATAATAATCATGATAATAACGTTGCGTGACTGTAATATGAGCAGTGTAATCAAAGTAATTATTGATAAAAATAAGAATTCATGTGAATAATTCGCTCAAATATATTTTGTTTTCAATTATATTCTATGGGGATTTTTAAATTTCCCTATCCATTAGATACAAAAAAAAAATTTTCATTTCTTATAACCAACTAATGCTTGATATTTTTTTTCCATTTCAAAATATCATAATGTTAAAATTTTTCACGAAAATAAGTAGCATGTTTTTGTATACAGAAAAAGCAAGAAGTTTGTTTTATTTTTCGTTGTTTCATCATGCAAAACTTAGAAAACTGATATGCTTAAATGCTATTAAGAGTTCAACTTACTTGGTAAATGAGAACGAAGACAAATGATCCAGTTACATTGTTGTGAAGGAGAACACAGGTGAGGGCAACAGGATTGTAACGAAAATTACAGAGCTACTCAGTAAAATAGGAAAACCATATCGTAAATCGTTAATTTGCAAATCTTCAATCCATTGTCTGACATTTCACTGTTCATGCGTTTCATACAAATTCCATTGTGTTCCCACTCTTTCTTTCTTGATCTTCCCCCATGTTCTGCTGCCAGACATTACGTTTACACTCGCGTCATATACTACTTATAAGTAGCGCGCACCACAACACCATAGGCTACTCTAATCCGAGCGTCCCAAGGCCTCACTAAGTAGATGAAGAAGTCTTGATATGGCGTAGATACTGTATTCTACAAAATCGAGGCTAACAAGCACACAAACTGAGCTTATGTATACATGATAGGAACGTCCTTGGGAGAGGCACAAAAACAGTGTACTGAAATAATATACCAATCAATGATAATCAAGGATATTCTGAGTGGGGAATGTAATCTCAAGGTCATCCGAGTAACTTATAGACGAAAACAGAAACACTTTATGTTTGTTATAGAGTTGTGAAGATTTTTTAACATATTCTCCATCAATGTTATCAAATTTTTGGTCGTACAGCATACATGACTAATGGAAAAATTATCAATTATCATTGAACTCATCAAATTTTTTCGAATTGCTTATAATAAGCTCAAAGTAAATAGGCGGTCTGCTCGAAAACTCTCCGCTATCCGTCTGCCTAACACTAAACTATTTCAACAAGTCAGCTCTTTTGGTTTATTTTAACATGTTAATTATGTCTACTTAATAACATTACTTATTTAAGTACGTATATGAAAAAATTTACTACCTAACGCCTCATATGGTACTGATGTTTTTTATCTTAATACATCGTATTGTAGTGAACGAGAACACAGGTGGGGCAACCGGATTATGTTTAACGAAAATTACAGAGTTACTCAGAAAATA